CTAACTCCACAATTCAGTACTTCACAGTTCACAGTCTTTGTAATATGTTTTAGCAATACATTTCTAACATTTATAAAGTGTTTAGATTTTTTTTTTTTTTATTGCCTTTACAGGGACTTTAATGACTTAATTTTCATTTTTGGGTGAACTATCCCTTTAAGCACTTTGTTACTAAGCACTTAGTCTCAGCCTCAGACGTCACGCCCACGGAACGTTGGCTAAACGTCTGATGCATATGGTACACTTAACTGGAAACACTTCAGGAATGTCGAAGTCGTCATCTGATTGGTTGAATTTTATCGGATTTCCGGGGGGCGCGAGTGTCGTGTTTATTTTCGGTCCGCAGGGAAACAAAGCGCAGACGTGTGATTGCGGAAGAAAAACTGTTGTGTTTACATGAGTGACAATGAGCATTTATCAAGATCAGCTAAACGTAGGATTCTCAAAAGTATGCGAGGTTCACGGCATAGACTCTTGAAGTTTTCTTCTCCTTCTTTGATTTTCTATGCTGACTGACGGGTTGCACGCCGGTCTGTTGTTGTGGGGACATTTCCACGCACCGAAACGTGACGCTGAACGAAACGAAATGTAATTGGTTGTTTGACATGTCGGTCAAACGGCCTTATGGGCGGGCCTTGGCCAAAGAAAGCTGCTATGAATTCCAGACCTTCAGCCGTCAGTCTGAAGGTCTGGCTACGCGAGACTACTAAGCACTAGGCTTGCTACGATAGTCAGTGTTACCGGTGTGTTCAGCAACACCGGTTACATCTCTTGCCCACCGCGGCACCGCCCCCCACTGTCGATTTGATTTTTTTATATATAAAATCATTTAGTTCAGTTAGAGAACAGACACTATTAAACTGAAAATGTCTGCTTAATAAATAAAGGTGACTGCGGAATATTTGGTGTCAAAGTGAAATGTAAAAAGATTCTCGTTCTGTTCTGCTTGCTCCTCTCCTGTTGACATGTGCGGTCGGTTTACCTTGTTGTTGCATCTTCAAACGTGCACAATAAAATGTGACACTGAATTTGAAACAGCACATTGTAATTTCTGTATCTATTATCAAAGTATTTATTAGTAATACAGTTGAAATTAGTAGAAATGTGAATATTTGGTTAGCATGTTGATTTACGGTGTGTGCCCCTAAATTTTCTGGTTGTACCCCTAAAATTTTCATTTGGGGGCCACTGTGCTCCTCGTGAAAAAAGTTAGTCTGGAGCCCTGTAAAAAATATCTTAATTTGTGTTCCGAAGATGAACGAAAGTCTTACGGGGTTGGAACAACATGAGGGTGAGTAATTACTGACAGAATTTTCATTTTTGGGTGAACTATCCCTTTAATGTTGAGTTCTATGTTAAGCTTCTCTAAAATTCCTCAGAGCTATCAAACCGTATTAGATCTCAGACCAAATTTGTTCTTTCTGAAATTGAACCGTATTAGTACTGAGCAAATAATTGAGCTCTGCCAATCTCAATATCATACAAGAAGCATAATCTCCTAGCTGTTACTGTCCTGATTAAGTGGCCATTCAATCAACCTCACAAACACCAAGTGATTACAGGTATGAACATTTTCAATCCTCCACATTGACAGCAGCAGAAATCCATTCAAGGACCAGGTAGAAGTAATTCAGCACTACCGTCATTCAGCTTTTCAAAGCCATATCAAGCCTGGCCCAACTTTTCTTTTATGTCTCTAGGGGGCAACATCACACCCCTTTTTCGTTCCAAAAATGATGAAATATTGATCTGCAAAAAGGGTTTTGGGGAGCAGCATACATTTGTGGCATCAGTGACAAAGCCGAGCAATAAGTCTTAAGGCACACATAAGCACCTTAAAGAAGGTGAGGACGGATGTAGCCTGTGTTGGGAATAACAACTTATCAAATAACCATAAGATCAAATTGTCTGTCTGAAATAGTTCCGGACAGCTGAGTCAAAGCAAGGCACTTCAAATATTGATTTACAGCTCCTTTCTGCGAAGACGCCAATTCATGTTATGCTAATTGTCATCATCGTCGTATTCCGTACGAGAGGCAATTTTGACATAATTTGAACAAGTCAGAGGGAATACTGAACTCAAGACTAAAGTCAAGCATTTTCACTTTTTTTTTTATCAACTTATGTTCCCCTATTGGCTTCGAACTACATTATGGATTCCTTTTGAAGGCTCTGGGCTGAGTTTCCCGAAACCTTCTTAACAATACGTCGTTCTTAAGTTACACCTTAAGCTGTACCTTATCGTTAATACGTGTTTCCCGAAACGCTCTTAGTTAAAGGGATACTCCACTTTTTTTGGAAATAGGCTCATTTTACAACTCCCCCAGAGTTAAACTGTTGAGTTTTACCGTTTTTAAATCCATTCAGCCGATCTCCGGTTCTGGCGGTACCACTTTTAGCATAGCTTAGCATACATCATTGAAGTGGACAAGACCATTAGCATTTCTAAAAAAAAAAATGACCAAAGAGTTTCGATATTTTTCCTATTTAAAACTTGACTCTTCTGTAGTTACATCGTGCACTAAGACCGACGGAAAATGTAAAGTTGCGATTTTCTAGGCTGATATGGCTAGGAACTATACTCTCATTCCTGCGTAGTAATCAAGAAACTTCACTGCCGTACCATGAGAGCAGCAGGCGTAATGATATGACGCAGCGCCTGAAAATAGGCTACCGTTCCGTCAACACAACGGAACTATTTTCAGAAGAGTCAAGTTTTAAATAGGAAAAATATCGAAACTCTTTGGTCATTTTTTTTTTTCGAAATGCTAATGGTCTTGTCCACTTCAATGATGTATGCTAAGCTATGCTAAAAGTGGTACCGCCAGAACCGGAGATCGGCTGAATGGATTCAAAAACGGTTAAACTCAACATTTTAACTCTGGGGGAGTTGTAAAATGAGCCTATTTTCAAAAAAAAGTGGAGTATCCCTTTAAGTATACCTTAAGTCATACGTTCGGAAGGTTGGTCTGGACCACTTAGCCTTACCTTATCACTGTTAAAGGTCTATAAATATAATTCTGAAGTTTTAATACACCCAGACAGTGTTTAATTAGGCTAATTCAAGTGTTTTCATGCAAAGAATAAAATTGTCATTACACTGATTGTTGTTAGAATTTTAATTATATTATTATAGCCTATATAATAAAATTTTATAAATTTATTTTAATTAAAGAGCGCTTTTAAAGGCCAGTGAAAGCATAGGCTACTGTCAGTTAAGTCCTATTCGGACGCTAATATTGTTTATCATGCATTTACAGGGGTAAGTCGGTTATTTTAGTGCCGTCCGAATCCATAATATCAGTGTTTTTTCTTACCCAACCCGCGTAAAAATCTCTGTCCAAATTAGTACCTACTGATTTTTGACAAACAGGTCGTGTGGTAATTTAATTGCCGTCTAAATCCACATCTCTGAGTTTACAAGAAGAGATTCAAAATTCACTGTTTAAATCCTTTTTGATCACTGCCGAGCACCGTAGCTACGTGACGTACACTTCTATTACTGAAATGCTTGAAAGTATTTACAAGAACAATATTTCATCGCAGCTCACCTCAGCGAACAAAAAAGGGAAAGAGAAGAAAGCACATAAAAAATGTTAATGGTTATTATGGCAGCAATATGAGATACAATTTTAAAATATGTAGGCAAGGCTATTAGGCTGTTATAGTTTGGATTATCCCATGAGTCCTAGTAAATGCAATTTCAACTATTTCTGAAGTACTTCTTTTATAAAGAACAGCGCTTTCTCACATAAACAGCCCCTGCACGAGAGAATAATTGATTCTCGAGTCATCGATATCAACAGATTCAGCACCATCGCCACGGACAGCACCCGGTAACGTCGCACGTAAGAAGGTATATCTTAAGCAGCTTTCTAGGTAATAGTTCGGGGAAGTAACACGCCTAGAAATGGTATACCTTCAGTTAAGTTATATCTTAAGAGTCTTCGTCGTAGCGCGCTAAGAGACAACGTTATCGGGAAACTCAGCCCTGATCACAACAATCAGACTCTGACTTGTATGTTAAGACCTCGCTAGCAGAGACAGCTATGCAAAAGCAAAGTAAAGTGAAGTCTGAACATGGTCAGAACCTTGTTTAGCTTTTGTTTTGAGCAAGTAGCAACTAATTGATTCCAAAAATAGAAAGAAGATGTAAATACAGCACTTACAGGTAAAGGATAGATAAGTATTTTCAGGTCTGTACAGATTGAATGACAACATGATGCTTATGGTGATACGTTATGCAGTAGGCTATTTGGAAATTGTCCACTATTATTATTTTTAACTATTATTTTTTTCCTTACCTACATATATGTATGCTTCTCCTGTGGACATGCAGTAGCATTTTGTATCCTTTTATTGGCCTAGTTAAATGTAATATGAAATAAATATGATAATAAATACTGTAGAAAAAGTTGAAGAATTGATTTGTTTAAACACAATGTGAATTTTTTTTGTATGTATGTGCCCTATGTATGCATATGCATGTATGTAGCCTATGTATGTATATATATGTATGTATGTATGTCTATGTATGTATGTATGTACGTATTTATTTATTTATTTTATTATTATGAATTAATTTTACAGAATCTGAATATGGAATATGGAAACTAAACCTCACTAATGTTTTGGAGGTGAGTCCAGCTATAAAGGGGCAATAGACTCTATTAAACCTATTCTTATCTCAACACTGCTATCATAAAACACTGCTGTCCAATTTTAACAAAAATTTAAACATTTTCAACTAATTGTGCAGTGTATGGATCACATTCAATTTATTTATTTTGTGTTATTTTATTTATTTATTTAGCTTTACTTTCGTAGAAACTTTCCCAATTATTTAAATAATCCTTTATAATCAGTGTTGTATAGGCTATCTTAAAGTCTTATGGCAAAAAAGTGATCTTTAAAATAATTGTTATTGTCTTTTTATCAAAAACATAATCACATTTTCCTTATTATGCAAATATAGAAGTAGGCAACTGATCCACAGACAATTTTACAAAACAAGTTTGCACTTTAATGCACAAAACAGCAGATTAACATTAAATATGACAGTATTACATGTTTACATCACAAATATATGAAGAACAACTTCTTTACAACTTTGCGTCAGTGTCTTCAGTCTCTTCACTTAAAAAAATATTAATATAAATAAAATTGTAGTTATTTATGATATATAATGCATATGGATTCCCTCAATCTCATTACAATCCATTCCGGAATGTGTGTTTTTCATCACAAACACTTTAACAAGAAAAAGTTGCAGAGAGCTCCGCGCGGACAATCGCACATCTTCCCGATTCGCGAGCCTTTTCTGATCGCGCACTGCTCCCCCAAATCACACTAGCAAGAGAAAACAGGAGAGATCATGTTACTTTTGCCATTACAGCATTTGAGTCACTGCGTAAAAGCGCACTTGGTAAAGGCTTATGTTTGGATACGTAGTGGATCATACAATAATAGGAATTTTCAATTTTCATCTAACAAATACTGTTTATTGATAAACAAAACGATGTTTTATTACATGATGAACATATAAAAAAACAGCCAAGACAATATCCATGCAACAGTACCAGTGTTGCGCAATGACCAATGTCGCCAGCACAAGCAACACGCACTTATACGTAATGTTAAAATGTATAATATAAATATACCATGGGAACTTGACCAAATTTCTTCTCCCAAGGTGGAATTCGTTTCGTCTGCAGCTTTTCCAGAACTTCTTGCAGAGCCCCGAGCTGGTTTGACAAAACATGTTTCTATTCAGTCCCTTCAGTCAAGTCTCTTTAAAAACATGTCAATATAACATTTCACACGGAAAAAAAAATAAAGCAAAAACTATTAAAAGTTGTGACACTTTTGTGTAAATACACGATGTTGTCTAAGTTCACTCTAAAAAAATGCTGGGTTGTTTTAACCCAATTTTGGGTCAAATATGGACAAACCCAGCCATTGGGTTACATTTTTAAGTTAAATTTTTAACCCAATGTTTGAGTTTGTCCATATTTGACCCAAAATTGGGTTAAAACAACCCAGCATTTTTTAGAGTGTTAAGCTTTCTACTGCGCAATAAAAATATGAATTACTCACAAGCTGTTTTTCACTTGTCAGGTTTGGGTCTTTGGGGTAAAAGTCTCTGATGGCTCTCGTGTCCAGTTCCACCTCTATCTCCGGCTCAGATTCGTTCGCTCTGGCTCCGGTCAACAAGCAGAGCAGCAGCGCGCACACAGCCATGCGCGTCCTCAGACTGGAGCTCTCCATGGTCCTGAATGGAGAGAGCTTTGGCACTTGAGCGAGCAACGTCGTTATACGTCTCTGTTGAAAGTTTTGGCGCAAATAAACCATCTCGACAGCCTTGCACCCTTTTATGTGCTCCAAAATGCATGCATTTATGTGATCTGTTGTCGCCCCGCCTTTATCATTGATTTCATTCGCACGTAAGCGCGATCATTCATTGCGTAAATGCGCTGAAGACAAGTCATCAAATGCGTTAATGTTGCCCCCGGAATGTTATGTTTTCAACTTCACTAAGGACACATCGGTCTATGTGTTTTGACTCAGTGGTGAGGAGCAGATGAAAATACTGCAGGCGCTGATGATTGTATAAGCGCAGCTTTTGAACATTTTGGGGCATGCATAGCTGTTTAAGTCTGATTACATAAGACTTTGTATGAATATTCATATACATGTCCATTCAAATATACTATCTATCTATCTATCTATCTATCTATCTATCTATCTATCTATCTATCTATCTATCTATCTATCTATCTATCTATCTATCTATCTATCTATCTATCTATCTATCTATCTATCTATCTATCTATCTCCCTACATTTGAATGAATATTATATTTAAAGCACATGCATTAGAAATCATGTGGTTGCATAAATTAAATGTGTGATCTTTGCTTTATTTAGCATTTCAATGCCTAAACTTCTCAGTAACTTCAAATGAGAACTAAAACATTCTAATATTTGAAGAGTGATCATTTGAAGAGGAAGTTTGCTTATTAGTGATTTGAGAAAAGCTGAATAATGCTCTCATTTATATGTTTAATTGCAAGGAGCCAAGAGCCATCTGCACTCTGAAAGTGACACCCAACTACTTAAGCACGTCTAGAATCGTCTAAGCCTCACTGGGAGGTGAATAAGGTTTTTTTTTTTATTTCAAGGGGGAAAAAATAGTTTTCCAATGGAAGGCTTTTTACTTGGGTAAATATTTTTGCCCGTCTGTGACGTCACATGTAGGAGAAATTATTTTGCGGTTGAATTTGATAGGCTATTTGTGTATCAGCAGATCAAATCATTTCTGCCTGACAACATTCACATTCATTTGGAGAATACATCTCATAGTTAGGGTGTTACATTCATTTGTGAAAATAAAATAAGTTTCCTGTTAGATATATGCCTGGGATTAACCCGTACAAGCGTTATATCAAAGGTGATGGTTTTTAATTTCCCAACAGGACCCTTTAACAATGGGTGTGAGGCATATGACTCATTCTCCTTAGTCCACATTCATATCAAAATATAACCGATCAATGGCAAACACACCAAGTGTTTTTAGAAAAATTCAGCCAATCTCGTCTGTAAAAAGCTTTTAAAAACACAGACTGGGGTGTGTTCACAGAGAAAAGTTCACTTCCATATTTAATTTTGTTGCAAAATTCTCATTCTTCTAAATGAAAATGGATGCCATAATAAGAAACTAACTGGAAAGATTTGGCCCATAACCCCTGTCAATGAGTTCATAAATCAAACAGTGTGGTGAGCAAACTCGTTCTTCTTTCCAAACAGGACTGGATCGGAAATAGAGGTTATGGGTGAATGAAAACCATTTTCATTACATGTTCCCGAACTCCCATTAAAAATATATCCACCAGACAAGCTTATATTGAAAAATCAGAAATTTGTGTGCACATGTATGGTTTCAATATCACTAAATATCACAACATTCAGTACCTCTCTTATCTGGATGCTTGGCTAGTCTGGGAAGCATTTAACTAGCTTTACCAGAAGCAACTGTCCAGTTCATGGGTATTGAAGACAAATATTTTGTTTTTCACATATTAAACCGGAAAACCATGGAATATTGACAGTTTATGATCAAAAGGATGGTCATCATCCATCAACTAGCTATTCAGATGTTAAAATCACATAAATCAAAAATCTGCCAGTGATATTTGCCCAAGGCCTTGGAAACAGGGTGTTTTCACAGCAAGTGCACAGACCTTCAGCTATTTTTAGCACTGCAGTGAGTGTTGAGTTAAGGGGTTTAAAATCTTACCCTTGTTCCACTGCCATATTCGGTCTTCGCTATGGGGCATGATTTGATTCCCATTTGTCTCCTTGGGATCCGCTTATGTCTGCCCACGTCTGCACGTCTTCCAAAACCCCCATTTGCCTCCTCAACCTCGCAAACTTCATCCCCAGTCCCATAACCCCTGCAGTGTTTGACATACCATGCTTTTCCCCATGATTAGCCTATCAGTCTCTCTGTAATTTATGCATTGAGAAAAGTGCAAAGACATCTGAATTCATGGTTACAGTTTATAAACGATAAATGAGCTATGTTCAACAGGTTAAAGGTGACGCACAACGTGATTTAGCCAAGTAAGTCAATATACCCTCATATCCTGATCGTGGACGGTTTCCTGCACCATAGGCTATACGGGTGAGTGTCGCATCAAGATCAAATTAAACCACATTACCTGCTACCCCACAAATTAGAGTGGTTATATACACTTAAAGGCTACACGTTGGTTTTTCACACTTAAAATAGTTAACCCATATCTGTTTCATTCAGAGTAGACTAGCCTACATCAGTATTTTTGCATGTTCGCAATGTCATCATTGATTTCACGAATATATCACGCGACCCGATTAAAAAACTACGTGTCAGTTGGGCACAATTCTTAATGTAGTTTATCCTGAACAGACTTTAGTAATACTATAAAAACGACATCTTACAAATTACGCGTTTTCCCTCATTGGTTTCCCCCCTCAAACGCTGTAAGGAAATACAGCGCGTGAAAGTTTTTGTTACTGTAAATAGCGCGTAAATATTTCATGAGGGAAGCACTGTTCTGTTTATGACTGGTCGCTTGTTCCTATCCTAAACAACTGGCTAATTTACACTTATGATCGTATAGTGGTAATACTTTTGTTGCAATATGACATACCTGCTGCAGTTTATTAAAGACAGGACAGGAATTACAATTAAGGTTATTACAGGTTGTTTGGAATCAGCCCGGTCATAAAGAAGTTCAACGAAGCAAGTTAAATGTTTCACAATCTATTAATTCGTTAGTGCATCATATCCATTGTTGCAGAAAGGAAGATTGTGGATTGGAATCATAATAATTTCATATTAGGTTGGAAGGATGTAAAATTATCATAAAGTGACAGTCACTGAATGTGAACAAATTGGCCATTATTGTGTGCGTTTTAAACACAGACTTCAGGCATTCCACTTCCGACTGTTTCGTTTATCAATGTGACAGTCAAATGAAGTCCTGTGGGGGAGAAACAAAATCAGCCAATTGATTTGCCCATTGATCATTAGGCAACAACACAAAACAACTGGCCTCAGAAATGAGCAAGACAAAGTACTTATCACACCCTGATAGTGTTTAACATCTAATTACATCCTGCTTGAAAGAATCAAATTTACCTCTCAGAGGTCACTAACCTCTTTCCCAACTTGGACTTTCAACTTTCAACAATAATACATTTTATTTAAAGGTGTCTTTCAAAACACCGTACAATCATAAAAAAAGACAGCAATACAACAAAACAAAAGCGGTTTAATATTACATAATTTAATATTAATCAGAGAAAGGTAATTTAAATAGATACGTTTTAAGGTGGGATTTAAAGTAGTCAGACAATCTCTTTCTCGTTGGCTAAAAAATGTGAAAGAGAATTCCAAAAAGGAGGAGCAGCACAGCTGAACGCCCTGGACCTTATGGTGACTAAACGAACAGAGGGTACAACAAGGGAAACAGATGAAGAAGATCTAAGAATACGCTTATGAAAGCAAATTGGAAAGATAGAGGGTGCAAGATTGTGAAGAGCTTTAAAAGTGAGATGCTGAATCTTGTACGCTACTTGATATTTAACAGGAAGCCAGTGTAAATGATCGAGAAAAGGAGAGATACTCAATGGAGGAGGTTCTAGTAATTATACAGGCAGCTGAGTTCTGGACCAACTGAAGTTTATGAAGAAGTTTGTGAGGTAACCCACATAGAGAGAGTTGCAATAATCAATAAGTGAAGTGACTAGAGCGTGTACAAGAATGGCTGTGGAACTGTGTGAGAAATGGATGAAGATAAGTAGAGATATTCCGTAAGTAGAAATATGCAGACCGAATAACATTGTTCACATGTCTTTCAAAAGACAATGTACTATCAAGGACAACACCCAGACTCAGTCTTAACCTGAGGAGATTGTAGAATTATCAATGGAGAGTGAAAAGCTGTTGGATTTTTCCAAATTGGATTTAGTACCAACAAGAAGAACCTCAGTTTTATCAGTATTGAGAAAATTGCATGAAAACCTGGATTTAATCTCTTGACAGTATAAAGGAGAAGAAGAAAGAAGAGTAGAACTGGACTTAGAAGACCAGTAGAGCTGGGTGTCGTCCGCATAGCAATGAAAGCTAATACCGTATTTCCTAAAAATGTAACCAAGAGGTAGTAAGTAAATGATAAATAAAAGAGCGCCCAAAACAGAGCCTTGAGGGACACCAGTGGAAACAGATGAAGAGTATGATCTGAAGAGATACGATCTAAACAAGATCTAAGTAGGATACGTATAGTAGTCCAGAATCAGCTGCCATCAGCAGGTCATTAACAACTTGTACCATGGCAGTCTCTGTACTATGCAATGGACGAAAACCAGACTGACATTTTTCACACAGGTTCTTTTTTTTAATAGGTGAGCATGAACCTGAGATGCAACAACCTTTTCCAGGATTTTTGAAAGAAAAGGTAGATTGGAAATTGGGCGAAAGTTGGAAAAATTATTAGGATCAGCGCCCGGTTTCTTGAGTCTTGGAGTTACCCACACTCTACAAATTTTTTCATAATAGGTTTTTTCGGTTTCTGAGTTGGGTGTGTACGTCACCAAATCTAACTTTATATTGCCTTAATCACTGTCTTATTTGCTAAAACATAGCACCGTTTTGAAACATGTCAGCAACTCCTAGCAACTGTTAGCTAGGCTTAAAATATGTTTTACACAGCGGGGTTAGTTGTAGCACAGTGTTATAACTAAGCCGCCAAGTGTACAATGATAATCAAATTAAACGGAGCCACACAACTTTTCAGGTTTGAGTATTTATTTATATATTTAACTTTGTTGGACTTTCAC